TGGACTTGAATTTGGACTTGTTGTTGAAAATTCCTGAAGGGAATTGTTGGTGTACAACTGTGTACCCGCGGGCGGAACGGCGGGTAGGGCCCTACCCGCCGCCCTACCGCGGGGTACGTGGTGCTTCGTGGGTTTGTACCCGCGGGCGGAACCGCGGGTGGTTGTCCACCCGTGGCCCCACCCGCGGGGAACACTTATGGTGGTTGGCGGGGATTTGTTCCCCATGATTCTTTTATCTCGGTATTGATGTTTTGACCTCCCGATGTTGTTTTATTGGGCTATTTGTGAGTCTTCTTGATGTTTCGTATGTCTAGAACGGTATGTTAGAAATCCATGTAGGATTTGGTGTCTTGAATCGTGCTAAGGGTCCGACATTGTGATTCGTTGGGCTAATTGTGAGTCTTGAATGTTCTTTGGAACTACTTTTGGTTTACCCGTTTGATAAGCATGCTAGTTTGATGTTGAAATACTAGTATGTGTGGTTTGTTCCTTCGTATTGAGATTGTCAACTTGTGTTGACAATCATTTGGGGTTGGATTGGAATCCTTTATTGTTGAGTCTTGGTCTTCTTGATAATGATGATGATCTTATGTAACTATGATTGAAATTGGTGGTGTGTTATCTGAGCTTGGCTCATATGTTGGAGGTTATGTGAATGAAATTAATGGTACCCTCGTGTATTGAGAGTACGGCGATGAATAGGAGAGTTGGAGGGGGGTGGGGGGGGGGGGGGACGATCCCTGGAGGCAAAAGGCTGGACTCAGAAGTACAGGGTGGCACTAGGAGGTAATGGTTGGAATTGAAATAAGGCCGGGGGTAGCCATAAGGTTGGAACTATGATACTTGTGACATGTAGTTGTCACTGTGGCATGTAGTTGTCGTTGTGTGAATGTGTATTCCTTGCTTATGAGCATGTCTTGATGTAATCTACTTTGTGATTAGTAGAATGCATCCTGAGTTGTTTGTCTTTCATGTTATTGTCGTGTCGTTGTTGTGAGGATGGTAATTCCCGTTTCCTTGAGAGTGTTTGATGGGTCTTTGAAGTTGACTTCTCTCTCTATGGTTTTGAAATGTATATACTGTATTCCGTTTCGAAATGATTTTGCTTATACTTATCTATATATGTTAACGCGTATTGATGGCTTACCAGCATGATTCGCTGACCGGGTGTCATCCCCATGTTATGTTTTCCTTGTTCTACAGGTTTTGACTAGAGGTTTGAGAGCGCTAGACGTGGATCGATAGATAGCTTAGCTACCTTGTCTAGACCTTATGTTTTGATGGCCTGTGAGCCTTTTTAGCGGCATGTGTGCCTTGACTCTTTAATGACTTGTTTGAATTGAGTAGTTTTTCCCGCCTGTGCACCTATGTCTGAGATAGGTGTGGCATAACATACCCTGATTTTATGTAGCTTCCATTGATTTATTCAAGATGATTAGATGTTTGCTTGTACAGTTAAGTTTTAAAAATATGGTAAAAATCGGGGGTGTTACAATTTTACTACGTCAAAGTGTTGTTGTGTTAACATCATAGATCGTCAAAGTCTCCTACTCTACTTGTTGACAGTTTAATTTAGAGAAAGTTTGTATTACTAAAATAATTTTTTATTTTTTTCTAAATATTATATTACAAGAAGAATTTGTTTTTTTTTGAGAAACCTGTCCTAATCATAATTCAAATCAAATTGAGGTGTTCCCTCCAAAAGTATGCGATAGCGATTGGAGCTTCATATATTTTTAAAAATCTATCCTAACCCTAATAGCACCTGGAATGGGAAACACAAATCCCCATATGTATGTGGCATTGAATCTCCTTCGATCTAATATGAATCCACCACTATCCTCTAATTAAAACAATACAGATCTTGAATTGGCAATATAATTGGCACCATGGTGGACCATAGAGATGAGCTCAAAGCCAGTTTCTCCGTGTGGAGTCCCTCCACCTCCACTTCCACCTCTCAGCCGCCATCTGTTAAACTCCACTTTGCCTGCAACACCATCCACCGCTTCGTAATTTTAGACGAAGAAACCCAGATCGTTACTCAATCACAACCCATCATGGTATATCGTATGCCCAGTCGCTTTGACTCAACCACCAAAGTCGATCGCTCCACGCTCTTAAGCCACGACTCTACTGCCACCGCCACCTTCAACGAGATCGTACTTTTCAAGTTGTTGGAATATTACGGCGACGATTTGGTAGAATGGAGCGGCCTAGAATCGCTGGTTTTGGATATAGTTCAGTCTGCCCGTAGGCTTATTCTCGGCAAAGATACTAACAGGGTCCGCGTACATGTGGATTTCATCAACTATAACGTTTTATACGCTTTTTTAACGCCCCAGCAACGTTTTCACGTTGTCGACTGGGGATACTACGGTATGAAACCCGCGAGCAAGTCGGCGACGATGGAGATGCTGAAAAAGGTGGATTGTTCTGACAAAAACAACCTTTGCGATGATGATGATGATGAGAGGTGTACGGTGTGTCTAGAAGAGCTGATGGGAAGCGAAGATAAGGAGGTTTTATGCATGCCGTGTTTGCATAGGTTTCATGGCGAATGCATCCTCAAGTGGCTAGACAACAGCCATTATTGCCCCATTTGCCGCTTTCAAATACCTACCCAAGACAATTAACTTTTTTAGTTTGAACCGATCAATTATAAATAATCTAATTTGATATGTCTAATCTTTTAATGTGCCTTGCCCTTGTAGGATCACAAATTAAAGTAGCATTATATTTATCAAATGTACACTCTCAATTTGTTTGAAATAGTCATTCCTTTATCTTCTTTTCAATTTTTTTTATCTTCAATTTTTCAAATTAAACAAGCATGCATAAATAGTACCCCGTATGTTTCAAGTTCGGTTAACAATGTTTGACTTACGTTATTTAGATTTTAATTTTTCATAATATTAAGTTTAGAATTAGTATGTAAAATTATATATTTAGAAACTGCGTACACTAAAATTACTACGGAGTATTAAAGACAAAAAATCAAATTTAAAAATCATAACAAAATACTAATAGAAATAAATAAAGAAGAAAGAATTAGTTTGACCAATGAATAATAAGTAGGACGTATAAAATGGAATAAAAGGATTATACATTAACAGGGTGTTTGGTTGGAGGGATTTTAAATTCTCTTCCCACTTAATTCCCACATAATTTCAAAGGCCATTAAATTCCGTAGTTTGGTTGGAGGGAATTGCAATTCCTCCATTTTCATGGAATTAAAATCCCATGTCCCCCCCTAGAATTTTAATTCCTGGGAAAAAAAGATAGTGATGAGTCAAAATTATCCATTCCATTTTTAACCTAAAATTAATGTCTAACAATAATAATGAACATTTTTGACTTTATATCATTTATTCCCTTCCAATTCCCATGTATACCAAACATTGGAATTGAAATTCTCAGTAATTCTATTCCTGTCAACCAAACACTGGAATTTAAATTCCCACTTTATTCCCAGTAATTCAACTCCCATGAAATTACAATTCCTTTCCCACATAATTCCCCCCTCCAACCAAATGCCCTATAATAGAACACTATAATCTCTTACCTCACCTATCACTCTAGTGTTTCCTTGTATTTTATGTGATGGATATAACGTAACTATATATATTTTTAGGGTTATACCATGATACTATTAATTATTGTCCCACAACACCAATTTCATACTATATTCATACTGTAATGTACGAAAAATAGTATATGCTCATAAATCTTGAAAAATAAATTTTTTAAAAATGAAAATTCATTATCATATGAGAACTTATTACTAAAACAAAATTAAAAACCAATCTCAATTATATTGGCTAAAGCAATGAGAGTAAAAAATAATAATAATAATAATAATAACCGTTGTTGACATTAAAGAAAATATTTTTAAAAAATAAAAAAATAAATGAGTGCCGTCAAGTGTCACCCAGAGTTCCCCCAAACACTTCAGTAGGCAATTAAGCAAGCAGGCACCTTGTTTCAATACTATAATTAAAGGGCCATCTTCAAACTCCCAATGAAGTGTTCAGAGGGACTCCAGGGGAAACCTAACTCTTTTCCTTATTGCTAATTTGCATTGCATTGCATGTATGTTTTTCAAAGAAAACAAAAGATTTTTTTTATGAATTTCATTCAACATTGCATGCCCATCTATTTATAGTAAAACTTAACTCTGAGCCTCTGATCTGTTAAGTTGTTAGTCTTAGAGCACATATTCATCACATATGCTCTGAATATTCTATTTACAAAAATGTTCAGCATGATGCAATATTATATTGTTAGGCAAGTAAGAGCTCATAGTATACTAACAATCATTATTGTGTGGACCATGCTATCAAATAATGTACATTCAGTACACAAAAAATTGTACATTGTATTCAGGGAAAGTATATTATTTGAGTACTGCGAAAGTACATTATTTTGTATAATGTACATTTAGTACATGAATAATGTACTTTTTTTTATGGTCCACACAACACCGTGTGGACCAATAATTTGCCGTATACTAATTGGTGGGCCAAAGATCAGTAAGGGGTTGGGAATCATGCATATATGGTCTGATACCAATACAAGAGCAAAAAAGGCATGCAGAGGTTGAACCTGGTCTAAATTGTGGGGTGAATGAAGAGAAGAGAAGAGAATATGTTACCTCCTAAAATGCAGGTGACCACAAACTCTTTTTATCTGACCTCACTTCTTTTCTGATGTCCACAAGTAATAAAAGCTATTTCTGATCCCCAAGGGCCAAATTCTCCCAAGATCACATATGTTGAACTCAGACTGTTGATGCTCTATCCTTAATCTAGCCCAGTGTTGAGACCAGGTACAGACGTACAGTGTGCTCTATTCCAAATACTTATTGCAACAACACAAGCACAGATATTTACCACAACATTCTTTAAGAAATATAATCCACCAGAAGAATAATACAATATTCTAGGATAGCATGAGATAATTACTGGCTGCAAACCTGTAATAATCACAAACTTAGGGGCGCATAAACTCAAAGAAAATACTTATTGGACACAAGTCACAAGTACACTGGATGGCCACACAGGTTCTATAACTAAGTTACTTTTCTAGAGTTGCAGTTAGAGATCACGAACAAAATAAAGAATTGCTCTGTCAGTTATCTTCTTTCACTTCCGTATGAGAACATCTATGTTAAACCTCTTTAGGTAGCTTCACCTCTTCCACTCTGCTCGGATCACCTTATCTGAAAACAAGAAAGGAAGTTACTGGCCACCATTAACTAATAGCATTATGAAAAAAAAAAGAATATCTTGTCACTATGGATTGTTGTTTTAAACCCCTAGGTGTTCAAGAGATCAACTGTGTTAAATTCTAATTGATTGTACTTCTATGTTATGAAACAATTTACTGTGTTAAGCAATTAGCCAGAACAAACTGTTCATGGATGTAGACAAGTCATTGTATAGCAAGCATCTGTGCCATTTTTGGAAAGAAGCAAACTACTTTGCAGTAAAAGAGAAAGATACTTCATAATTACTAGTATGACAAAACTGATGCGTTTAAATGCGTGTCTCTGTGCATGAAGAATCATTGTTTGACATGTAAAGTATCTCACCACTGCCATCCCTAGATGATGATAAAGACCTATCAATTTTGATTCCATCTTTGCCACTTGCTTGGACCAGCCTCTGCACACGGGGTGACGAACTCAACTTGCCATTAGCGGATGATGGCAAAGAATAACGCCTGGTCAGGGCATTCTTCTCATCCACTTCTTGTCCAAACCTTGGTGAGGCTAGCTCCCTAACCTTAGCCCTAGCAGACTTCGTTGGGGCCATGTAGCTGGGCACCTTCCTTGCAATATGCATACTGGTATCTATATCATGCTGTGCAGGTAAAGAAGCTCTTCTATGGCCATTGATATTCCCATTTTCATTCTGGTCAAGGTTAGTGTCTAGGTCTTTCTCTGAAACTGCAATATTCTCCTCCTTGTCAGCAACGGGTTCGGGTTTAGTTTCAGATACAGTAACACCACAAGGCTCATTAATTATTGCCTCCATTGATGGCCTTTCTGGAAGAATTTCTGCATCAGCAAGTTTGGTGGTTTCTTTCAATGGAGTTTTGCCATCTCTTCCTGAAAGTTCAGGGACCAGAGTGCTTGATGGCTTCCTAAGGTTTTGCCTTGATAGGTCAGTAACAGCCTCTGACTGTCCAGAATTTTCCAATATGGATTTGGAGGTCTTCTTTAGACTTTTCCTTACTTTCTCAATCTCATTTCCTTGGTGCTCAGAGACAGATTTTAGTGAATGATTTGACATTTTCTTTTGGTTATGTTTAAACTTATCTGACTCCATATTGGAATGATTTGTGCCATTCTCAATCTTTCCAGAATGCATTCTCCGCCCACTTTGCTTAGGCATAGCTTGGTCTGTCTTAACTATTTCAAGCTTTGAATCTGGTCCCAAAGCTTGAGATATAGTCCACCGCATTAGCCATTCCTGCACAGAATTTGGCTCACCTGGACCATATTGAATTTGCAGAGGCATTGCAGTAGGCAAAGAAGAGAGCAACTGAAAAGACAGACTATAAGCATCAGAGTGTTACAGCAACATTCAAATGAAAACAATGGAAGTGCAAATCAATCATGTATGACTATTCAACGCCAAGGTAAATTCTATTGTTGTGAAGTATGACTTTAAATAAGTATACACTATCAAAATCAACTTAGAGAACCATTTTTTTCCTAGTTATTTATTTACAAATGAACTAATTCTTTTTCTAGTCATTTATATGCGAACCCTTTTCTTGTTTTTACAAGCTACAACAGAAAACAGATGATAAGTATCTGCTTTTGCACCAAAAATTTTAAACTTGTAAAGATATGACAAAGAAATGAATTCCAGGGGCACTTCATGCACTGGCATACCTTTTCAGTAAAAGCATTCTTCACGATCTCCTTCACTGGACTAGATGTGTCACTTTTAAAATAACCTAATTCCTTTAGCATAATAAAAGAAGAAAAATAGAAAAAAAAAAAATTAAGTAGACACAATTTAGTTAGCCATCTTAGTAAATATTAACAAGAATAAATCAAATACATGTGGTAAAACTGAAACTCATATTTAATACAGCAGAAAGAGGATAATTCTTGAATATTAATCACAATTATATCAACAAAAACGAAATGCTCAAAACAAAAACAAAAAAAAAAAAAAAAAAAAAAAAAAACATATTAAAATACACACATCTTTATAACGCTACACTAGTATTTACAAGCCAAATTGCTATATAAAATTTGACATGCTGCAGATCTAGTCATCTAAATAAAACTGATGCAGAGCAAAACTTAAGTTACCTCATTTCCCAATATCTTCTTTGAGAATATTTCACTGCCAATAGTTGACCGCCTAACAATTTGACCACGTACAAGTGCTTGAAGCTTAACAATGCCCTGTAGACAATATAAGGTAGCAACAGCTTGCCTTTTGACCAAATGTCCACGAATGACTGATTGAAGCCTTATGATGCCCTTGAGAGTCTGAAATGCTCGACGAGCCTTCAAAGAGACAATTAGTATTTTTATAGAAAGAGCCACAAAGCTACATCTTTGAACATCAGATATTAAACGAAGTATCACATCACATTAAAAGGTGGATAACAATTGTGAATATTAGTAAAATGAATACATTTCAAACAAGCTGAATGGCTTTCACAAAATTATGCTATTGAAAAGCCTATAATCAACAAAAGTCTTGGACTATGAATAATTAGCGTAAGCCTATAGTTTGATTAGTAGGTATATAATCAACAAAAGTCTTGGAGTAAGAATAGTTAGGGTAAGAGGAGATACCAGATAACCCCTAAAAGCAGCTTGAGCTTTTGTAGCAGCTTGCTCGAGTTTCCAAGTATCCTCAGGTAAGGTTAGATTGGGTGCAGAAGCAGTTGGGGCAACTTCATCTTGCTTCATAGAAGAGATAGCCACTTCATCACCACAATCAAAAGCAGCTTCTTCTTTTCCAAAGTTTGATGATTCTTTTACTTCATCAACACTAACAGGAAGTGGCTCTGAAATTGAAAGCAAGCCTGTTGACAAGTTGGATGCTGGCTCCTTTGCAGAAATTGAAAATGGTTTGTCCTTCATATTAAAAAGGGAGCAACAAGTATATATTAAATAAATAAAATTAATAATGAATATTTGAGCCTTCTTATCATGGGAAAATTTTAGAAGTTATTTAGCCTCAAATATATTGGTTTTTAGTAACAAAATATATCTTTTCAAAATGGTTAGGTACATATGCCATCTCAATGATGTTCCGAATGTATGATGTTAGCATTCATAACTTCATATTCTATTACAATGATGTTCACCCCCTTTTTAAAAAATATTTTGTAACAATAATGTTCAAATTCTATGCAAAGATGTTCATAGGACATGAATATTATTGTATTAGAAGTTCACCATTATTGCTATACAATTTAAACATTATAACAGCGCATACATAACAAAGAACCATGTGTTACCAATAAAGAATTGCACCAAAAAGTGTATACTGAGGTTGAAAAAGAAGGTTGTTGAGAATGAGAAGGTAAAAAAAAAAAAAACAGAAGCAATAAAGTCTCCCATGATAAAGTAACATGTTCTTTTTAAAGCTCAAGCAGACTCAACATTAATTTTTACCCTATTGGAACTTACACAGGACCCTTATACAGTGATCCATTAGTGAAAACTTGATATTATTGGTTTTCCTTCAACTAATGAAGGGAAAATGGTTGACTAAACATAGGTAATACAGGGCAATCAACATGTTACACATTTGTGAGTTCATGAAACTAACACTAAAAGGAGGAGAAAATGATAGGCTTTGGCCATATGATAGCTGGGATCTACAATTATAGTAATGTAAACAAAAATGGTGGAAATATGGTATTGTATTATGAATCAGACTTCATGTAATGTGTTCAAATCATGTTTGGTCTTGTGAATCTAATTACCATTAAAAGAGCTATAAAGGACTGAAAAAGATAAAATTGTAGAGTTTAGGAAGGAGCATCACAAAGGAAACAAGATTTGGTAGTTCCTTACCTTTGATGTGCCAGATTTGGAAGTCTTCTTCCCAAAAATAATAGATTTGATCCATTTCCCTGGAGATTTTCCCATTAAATGTTGTTTATGCTCACAATCTACAAACTTCTCAACAGATTACCTGCAGGTTTCTACATAAATTAGCATCATGTAAACATGCAAACTCAAGATAGTAACTTAAGACAGGTTCAATATTGTTATTTGGACAGGTTGACAAAGAATATAACAGACACAGAAATTCACAAGAGAATATATAGTAATATTTCTTCAGATCCAAGTAGCTAAATAATACCATATCTTATGGTTTCGACTTTCGAGGATGGTTCATCATCTGAGCAAACCAAATAGCAGTGAATTGTAAATTAAGAATTGAATATATATCACAACAAATTGAGTAATCATGATGGAGGAACTAATTCACTCATCTGTTAGCAAACCTAAGTTGAACCACTTAAAAATTCAACATTGAAGCAAAAAAAAAAAAAAAAAAAAAAAAAACTCAAATGTAAAGAGTTAAGCACTTAAACGACCACACCGCCATAAAAATCTATGAAGGAGAACGTAGAGCAATAAATAGCACTATTTTTTTTTAGATAATAACACTACATTAGATCTAAGGCTTAAACTGAAGATTTTAAACTCACACCAAAGTTCCAAACGCAAAACTTCTGAAGCTCCAAGATGAAAGCAATCATAATCAAGCAAAAGATTAGCAGAATATTTGTTTTAAATTTAAAATAAAAAATAAAAAAGATTTATCTTTTCATATAAATTAAGGCACAAAAGAAAACGAAGTTCAAAAAAAAAAAAAAACTAAAAAATAAGCAGTGACCTTTGAGAGATCTGGAAACTTATTGAATAACTAAAAAGATTGAGCTAAGAATATAACCTATAGATATATATAAGTATGGTTCATAGGGAGCTCAGCATTTTCTTCTTCGCTCTCTGACGCATTCCAAAATGGCACTCTGTTCTAGTTCCAACTTCGAAACTCACCCACCTGAAATTTAATTGACATTCTTGTAATGTTCGCTCAGATTTTCAAAATATCCAAAACAGAAAAAAGCTTCCACCCAAAACGGTGCCGTCCGATTTTTCTTTTTCTTTTTCTGTTTCTTTTTCTTTTTATTTCTCGTAATCTGGACATTGCCCACCAAAGTTGTCTTAACTCTCCAACTTTTTACTCATTTTTGCTCTATGATAATAATAATATGGTATTGGCTAATTAAATAAAGAAAAAATTTTACTTTTGGTTAATCAACTACTGTACATGGATCTATTATAAATATTATTATTATGGCCATCATCACAAAATCTTTCATTTGTCTTATATTTATTTCATTATTTATATTATAGACAACTAGTATTTGACCTGTGCGATGCACGGGATGTTATTTAAACATTTTTATTTGTGTGTATTTTATGTTAAAATTTGTGTGATATATTTGGGAATACAACAAAAAATGTATGAAAATGGTATGTTACAAATAGTTGCAAGGTGTTGGTAATATAAAAAGAATACATTACAAAATTACAAATTATTGAAAACTTCATGATATACAACATTAGTGGTTGATGTAGTAGTTGAACTTGAGTCTTTTACAATCAATATTTTCAGACCGTCTGGATTGTTAACCCGAGATGCAGCTACGTACAACTGACCGTGTACAAAAACCTGTTTCTTTAGTATTAAACCTACATGAGTCAATGTTTGGCATTGACTTTTGTTTATGGTCATCGCATATGAAAGCATCAATGGGAATTGCCTTCGTTGAAACTTGAACGGCAATCTTGGATCCGAGGGTGACATTGACATTCGGGGAATTAACACTTTTGTACCTTTGTTGGGACCAGTGAGAAGCTCGCTTTCAATAACATGGTCTGCTAACTTTGTGATTATCAACCGAGTTCCATTGCACAACCCAAGAGAATGGTCAATATTTCTCATTAATATTACTGGTGAGCCGATTTTCAAATTCAGTGTATGATTTGGTAGACCCGACACACGAATGCTGTTTAGAAATTCCGGTGTGTGTACATCTCCAAGTATACCATTATCACCGTCGGCTTTGCATAATGCGTCTGAACTATAGTATGACCTGCTTTCGGCATTATGCAACTCAGTCATATATTCATTAACCCAAGAGAATGGTCAATATTTCTCATTAATATTACTGGTGAGCCGATTTTCAAATTCAGTGTATGATTTGGTAGACCCGACACACGAATGCTGTTTAGAAATTCCGGTGTGTGTACATCTCCAAGTATACCATTATCACCGTCGGCTTTGCATAATGCGTCTGAACTATAGTATGACCTGCTTTCGGCATTATGCAACTCAGTCATATATTCATTAACTGCGTTGACCACGTCGAGCGTTGGTGCTAGTATAGCACGACCTATCAGATGCTCGGGGTCAGTGTTTCCATTTGCAAACATTGGAAATCTACTTTCCACAATTGCTTTAATGTCGTCCCCCCCCCCCCCCCCCCCCCCCGGATGATACTAACATGTGATTAGGTATTTGAACCTCTGCGAATCCGTCATTCCGCCCACCAAGCTTTCCATCGCCGATATTGGCAATCCAGTTAGCAAACTCTTGTAATGCCTGCCGGTTCACACCGTTGTGTACCGAACTTAGCCTGAGGTTTTTAGTCAATCTTAAAACTTTGCAACTATCCCATAAATATGATGAATTTATGGCGGACGAAACAATGTCTTGCCGTGTACCTTTTGGAACTACTGGAAGAATTTGGCGGAAATCTCAACCTAGAACAACTGTTTTACCACCAAACGTCTTCATTTCACTATTAGGGTCCACAAAATGCAACAAATCCCACATGGTTCGATCTAACGCTTCAAAGCAATGTTTGTGCATCATGGGAGCTTCATCCCAAATTATCAAGCTCGTCTTTATCAACAATTCAGCCAAGTCGCTACCTTGTTTAATGTTACAGGTAGAGTCCTCATTTATTGCAATAGGTATTGCAAATCTCGAGTGTGCAGTTCGACCACCTGGTAACAACAAAGAAGCTATGCCACTTGATGCGACATTTAAAACGATCTGGCCTTTGCATCAGACTGCAGAGGATAACGCTCTCCATAAGAAAGTCTTTCCTGTTCCACCGTATCCATACACAAAAAATAATCCACCTTTATTGGTTGCAATATCTTGGATAACAGTATCAAAAATGAGACCCTGTTCTTCTGTTAGTTTGGCACACATCAGTTCAGAATCTGTCTTCAATTGTTCCGAATTGTAACTCAACTCTTCAAAAACCAATCGATTTTGAAACAACCTTGTATTATCAGTACTTGGTGTGGGCATCGGAGGATAGTCTTTTAAAGACTTGTTCTGTTGCCCCAACAGGTTTTCCAATTCCAATAATCCAAAGTTCTTTTTCTCTTCCTCTGTTAAGACCAAATTTGTTACAATAGCAACATCCAAATTGTTATATGTATAACCTAAGAAAATTGTTGAAAAGTTTATTGTATAATAAAAAAGTTACATTACCTTGTTGTTTTAATATTCTTCTTTGATAGTGTTGAGCATCTTCACACAGATGTTGCCAAACTTGATTCCAAACATTTTCGGGTCTAATAATTGAGGATGATGTTAGTAAAACAACAAATAGCTTCCTCAATGAATGTGCAGTTGACCAGTAGCTTGCCTCATTTATAGCATCAATGTACTCTTTATCGTCGTCTAGCAATCCATGAGCATAACACGCATCTCTAAAGGTCAAGTACTCAACACCGTTAACTGTCCTAATATCTTTGAAACTTTTTGGACCACGGACTATGTTCAATAGACATCTCAAATAATATATTTCACCTGAAGCTGGAGGTACATAGAATATTCGACCAATTGAGGTTCTATTGGTCTTTCTTGGATGCCATTCACGGATGTCCTTTTTCCACACAAATTTGGTAGGGCATCTCAATGTAAGTCAGCAAACTCGCTTCTTTGAAATTCTGGTTGGCTACAAACCATGCATTAAACGTATTTTGACCAACGGTTTCTCTATTGAGTACATTATCAATAGTATCATCGTCTTGGAAAACAACTGATTGGCAATCCGGCAAGTGGAAGCTTAATCGCTCAACCGGGGGAGTTCTATACTGGACTTCAAAACTAAACAATCTCCAAGCTGCTTCGCATGCAGATACAATCATAGTACATGTTTATCTCATCCACAATCTCATTACCAGCTTCATCCATCGTAGTCTTATAAAACTCAGCAGTTACACGGTCGTTGCCCTTGTTTACATACTTGAAGAGGTACTTGATTGACCTAGATTGGTTACACCACTCTACATTAATGTGAGATTTGTATTTCAAAAGCAAGTACCTATTATGTGGTACAATATATCTATTATTCAACTCTATTCCATTCTTTTTTTATTGTCCTCTTATCATCCCTTCTTCGATACAACGGGTAACCATCTTGGTCAAAATGTGATGCATCAATGTATCTCTTTGGAAAATGCTTTGAACACTTGCCATTTGCCATGCACGTGGATTTACTCCTTGCAGCACCACAGGGGCCGTGCAGCATGAATTCTTTGACAGCTTTGTAATACTCAATGTCTGACAGCTTGTCGGGAATCTCGGCTGAAATGATCGTGTCCATAAAAGCCGGGTTCGCAAAGTCGTTGGTCGCTTGTAGGAACAGTAATATGTGAGCATGCGGAAGACCACGTTTTTGAAACTCAATTGTGTATATAACTGTCAAAAATGCATTCATATTGTTAGATAGAAGCTTCGTATAATAATAATTAGTATATAAAAAATGACACTTATAAGGAACTGCAGTACGCACCTGCCTTTACGCGACCAAATAGTTTTCCATTTTTTATTTCTTTAATTAAACAGTCTAGCTTCAGTTTGAAAACACGGCAGACAATGTCGGGACGATCTTCAGCTTTCAAATTTCTTTTCTCCAAGAAGCGTTGTATCTCCGGCCATTTAGGATTACATGTAAAAGTAATAAACAGATTTGGATAACCTATAAATCTGCAAATTGCCATGGCGTCTTGGTAGTTTTGTATCATGTATCTTGCTCCTCCCGTGAAACTTGATGGTAATATTATTCTTTTACCTTGAGAGCTGGGTTGAACTTCACCGCGCGTCAACGCATCAGACAGACCTTTGTACGCCTCACACCTCAAAGCTTTTTGATTTGACCTAATATAGAGCAACCTCGAAGATTCAACCATAGTATACGCATCAACTAAGAATTGTTGGAGCATACATTATTGTTGAGATCTCATTTGATCTTTCGTGGATACAGAACGCGAAGTACTCTCTTTGTGAAACAGTCTTTCTTGCAAAATCTTGTTTTGTACCAAGTGTTGCAAAATGTATATCTTCTCTAAAACCATCCTCTCCGTATGGAAATAAGATTGGGTATTGCAATGGTAAATAGGCCGGATTTAATTCATTTATTCGTTTCAGGACTCCAGACCTACACTCGACAACAATATCCCGTTGCCCCATGTAAGGGTCTATATCTCCAACAATGAGTGCAGCAACCTCGGAAGTAGTTGGTAACGCATAAGTCCTGGCATCTTTAGTCATCTTTCCTATTAATCTCATTCTAATTTGACTTTTAGGATTAGACTCCATAAATGACTTGGCCATTCGGAATGACTTAACCAACACATTGTGTTCATCTAGCACCTGCTTAATGTCATGTACTACCTCACTATGCAATGCAGAACCATTGTTTTCGGCCCTAAAAGAGGAAGAATATATAATATAAGATTCTCTGTATTAACGCATGATATACCAAAAATATTTCAGTAACACAAAATAGTATACCTCAAAGAGTTGAAGCGATTTTCTATCTCATTCTCTGTATCGTGAATGTATAATTGGGCAAATTTCGGTTGAATGCCATGTGCAGGTAATAAGCTTCCAATCCGATGAAAATTTTGACCATTTATACGGAATATAGGTGGCGATGTTCCGTTGTTAATAGTTCTATCAATTTTTCCACCCATCGACGTAAAGCAAAACATGCTGTTATATGACCTTATATTCTTTAAAAAACATTTGTTTTTATCGCTTGATGTAAAGAATAGCTCATACAGCTTTTGAGGAGGCTTTGTCATGAATGACAACTTTATTTTACCATGACACAACACGCAGAGTATTTTGGACTTTCAAATGACCTTGAATTGCTTGACCGTTCATTGTACCAAAAAAATGAATTACAATGCTCACAATCATACTCTGGATCACCAAGATCAAAATAATAATCTTAATATATATATATATATATATATATATATATATATATATATATATATATATATATATATATATATATTTGGGCATGGTAAAATATATTAGTTCATATCTAACATGACAATGTATTTTAGTGTAGTCCAAAGATAATACGTTTTTGTCCTAACACATTTCATATGAACTCACCATTAATTGAGGGCATATTGTCATGTAACGGTTCAACAACTTCCTGAAAATCTGACATCAAATTTCGGTAATGCTCGATGGTTTCACTCTCCGGCTCTACCAGGACCATTTGCATATTATTGTCATTTGTAATGCAACAATTACTTTCGATCCCTAAAATAACAATATCCCATTATAAATAATTTGGTTAAATATTAATTTAAGCATTATAACTGACTATCCCCTAAAAAACTCTTCTTGAATATATATTTATACCTATCTGCGACTCTGGTGATAGATTTAAGTCGAAGAAATAATTTTGACGGTCAGATGTAGGTGGATTGCCGCGGTCCCCATTGACTTTACCGCAATTTGCTTTAATAAAAAAGATATTTTAATAAGATTTGTTAGACTAATAACTATTCAATTTGACTATATATATATATATATATATATATATATATATATATATATATATATATATATATATATATATATATATATATATATATATAATTTTTTAGTAATCTTATTACAATATATTTGTTGAACTTCATACCATTTGATATGTTGCTAAATGGCATTCTGCTACTCAATTCTTGCGTTGGTGTAGTATGTATTGTCATTCGTAACGGAGAAGAAACTGTGCATTGCAACAACAACGATTATTATTAACCAATAGAAAATATAAATGACTACAGGATTCGTAATTAGACTGTGTAGTTTAATATAAGGAATAAATACATCGATGGATTCTAGATTTATACCTAGTTGTGAATCTGGTGTTCTATTTAAGTCGAACGAATGATTATGGCGCTTGGTAATCGGTGCTTTTTCACGATCCCCGTCAACTCGAGCGCAATTTTCTTTAATTATATAAGAGCCGTACAAAACACTTGTTAGAATGTTAAGTATCACATTTTTAAAAATATGGGAAGTTAAAAATGTTTTTTTCTGTTCGTACTATTGGATATGTTACTTAATGGTATTCTGCTACCCAAATCTTGCAAAGGGGAATTCCGAATTGTCGTCCGAATTGCGGTTGAAGCTGTGAATTACAACATCAACTTATATTAACAACAATTAATTATGTAATTGCACTGTCATATAGACCACACTTACCATTTGTCACAATACTTAAAGGCGTACT